TATTTCACAAGGCAATCAGGGCGTTTTCTTTTTTATTTCTGCAAATTCTTTCTTTATTGAATCTCATAAAGAAATATTATATGTTTTTTTCCTTCAATCTTGTACAATCTTGTATTCCGATTTCCATACGTTTTGATTTGGGGTGACATTAATGGATGCATATGTATTTGGTAGGCTCTACAATTTTAATTACTCCATGGGAATTCATCTTCTTCAAGCCGAGAACCCGGACAGTCTCCCCAAGAAAACTGAGATCAACCCAAAGGATAACCACATCTCCTTTCAGGTAAATCTTTCCATCTTCTCTCTGTGAATTTTGGCTTATATCTCTCTTGATTATTGCATTTCTCGGTGCATCAATCTTAATTATTTTAAGTCCTTCTTCACTGTTGTCTTTTCTCTTTTGCTCTTAACACATCTATTGGTTCGAAAATGCCAAAAACTTTGCTAAAGTTTTATTCATTATAATAAGTAGTTCTCAACAGGAATTTGGAAGCAAATGAAATATTTTAATTTTGAGAACCAGGGGAGATCCTCGTCTATAATGTTCCCTATTTTTTTTCTTCTAATTTTTAATCCCAGATTCCGTTTGAATATACCTTTTTTTTTTTTTATCTTTTTCAATTTACGTTAAAGTCTTCAAAATATTATTATTGTGATTATTATTATTATTATATTTACCTTGAAAGTGTCAAAGCCAAAAGTTATAGACCTACGTCTCTTTCTCTCTCTTTAATTTTACAAATCAATATATAATTATTTTCTCAAATCAGTGTATCGTTATCATTCTTTTTTTTTTTTTTTGTCAATTAATTGGGGTCAGCTACGTTTTCGGATAGCTGAATTAAAAAGCCATGCTCTCGCCATCAATAAATCACAATATTTGTTATAAATATTAGATTTTAATGGGAATGTTTGGTTGCATTGTAGTGTGAGAGCATGGCAGCAGTAGCAAGGGGGTTGAAGGATATGGGGATTAAATACATCGAAAGGGAAGTAGAGGAAGGCGGCATCTTTGTCTCTCAGATATTCTTCCACGATCCCGACGGATTCATGGTCGAGATCTGCGACTGCGAAAACCTGCCTGTGGTTCCTCTAGCTGCAAATGCGAATGGTGCCTCCGCTTGCAAGATGAGGCCAATTCTTCAACGCCATGAAGATCTTGCCTTGTGCATCAATTAGGACCCAAGTTCTTGAATTGCATGCTCTCTTCCTCTCTCTATAGTTTCTCTCTCTAAGACTCTGGTCTCCTTTTGGTGGAGGTGATATCTCTACCCTTTGGATTTTTGCCTTCTCTTTCTGGTTTTTGGTCCCCTTTCGGTGGGGGTGACGAATCTTGCCTTTTGATTTTTGGTATGATTTGGTTGAAAATGTTGCCAATATGATTTGTCACATCAAATATAAAGGTTTTGTTGGGTTCTTAAATAATGTGAGATCGACTTGTTTGTCACATGAAATATAAAGCCTTTGTTGGGTCTTAAACAATGTTTAAAAAAACCTCGGAGTCGTCTAGTTCGATTTGGGGATCGTCATGGACGAATCGAATCGGCGAAAAAAACGGGAATCGTTCGGTTTTAGAGAGAACCGGATGGATTTGTACAGTGATTTTTCAATTCACTGTACGGAATCGGCGAGTCCGTACAATGAATCGGCGAGTCCCGTACGATATTTTTTTTTTTTTTTTGTTTTTTTTTTTGTGGGTAATCCATGAAAGATTTTTTTTTGTATTATGTAATCGATTTTTTTGTAATCCATGATCGAATTGTTTTATTTTATTTTTGTAATCCATGATCGAATTTTTATTTATTTTTATTTTTGTAACCCATGATCGAATTTTTGTAATCCATGATCGAATTTTTTGTAATCCATGATCGAAATGTTTGTTTTTTTTTGTTGTAATCCATGATCGAATTTTTTTTTTGTTTTTGTTTTTTGTAACCCATGATAGAATTTTTTGTAATCCATGATCAAATGTTTCGTAATCCATGATCGAAATGTTTGTTTTTTTTTTGTAATCCATGATCAAAATGTTTGTTTCTTTTTTTTGTAATCCATGATCGAATTTTTTGTTTTTTGTTTTTTTTGTAACCCATGATAGAGTTTTTTGTAATCCATGATTGAATTTTTTGCAATCCATGATTGAATTGTTTTTTTCTTTTTTGTAATCCACGATTGAATTTTTTGTTTTTTTTGTTTGTTTTTTTTGTAATCCATGATCGAATTTTATGTAATCCATGATCAAATTTTTTGTAATCCATGATTGAATTTTTTGAAAATTTGTGAATTTTTTTTTTAATCCATGATCGAATTTTTTTATGTAATCCATTATAGAATTTTTTGAAAATTTGTGATTTTTTTTTTTTAATCCATGATCGAATATTTTTTTATAATCCATGATTGAATTTTTTGAAAATTTGTGATTTTTTTTTTTTAATCCATGATCGATTTTTTTTGAAAATTTGTTTTTTTTTTTTTTTAAATTCCATATTATTCAAAGAGAAAATGAGAGAGATGATGATTCTGAGGCCATTCTATCCCAGCCATATTATTTACATATCGAGTCCCAACAGTAACAGTGTAGGGATGAGCACGACAGTGCAGGTGAACATGAAGGATGGACAATCTTCGGGGATTTTAGATTGGGAACACAACAAAACACTAATACTCAGACGCCTGCTAATATCGATGATTCGTTTTTAGATCGAATCAATGAATTGTTAAACGATTTCAATCAATGGCACCAGCGTGACCAAGAAGAATAATAACGTCGTCAATCATTTTATTTTTGGATCATATGTTATTAATTTTATGCTTTATTGTAGTCCATGTATGTTGATATATTTATTCCATGATAATTCTATGTTTATCCTTTTGTGTGATCTAAATTAAATGCTGAATGGCGGTTCAGGGAAAGAACATATCAATATTCGCATATTTATTCAAAAACATGAAAATTCTTTATAGAGTACCTTCATTTCTTATTGAATTCTTAAAAAATAATATTTATAATAAATTTTAATAATTTTTTTGGATTTTTTTTAAGTTTTATTATGACCGATTCACTCGATTTTCGATCCGAATCGTCGATTCACCGATCTGAATCGGTTTTTTGGAAGTCCGATCCGGGTCATCGATCCGTTTTTTAAACCATTGGTCTTAAATAAAGGGAGAGATGAACTTGTGCATGCATCTTAATGAGGAATTTTTTAATTTGGCCCTTATCAGTCTATTCGTTTTTCTGTCGAAATAATCCTCCACGTAAGCTTGGACCCACCTCTTTTAGGTTTTAGACTATGTTTGTTTGTTTGTTTCCATTGCATTTGGGATTTGCAGTTTATGTTGTGATGTGCCTGGGATAATTCTTAAAAAAATTATTTTAAATTGCCTTTTATGTTGTGGCGCGCTGAAGTCAGTAGTTGGCATACGGGTGCATCCGTAGCTGTAGGGGTAAGGTTCACCTTCGAATTTTATCGTGGTATATAATTTTATCGTGGTATATTGATGCAAAGTGTTTTTAGGATTGTTTCAAAATTTATTTTTATATTTAATTATAAAATTTTAAAATAGTTAAAATTAAGTAGATTTATAAACATATGAAAATATTGAAAGTGGGTAGTGTAGATAATATAGTATAAAATACACTATTTATAAGATTTAATTTTTTTTTGTTTTTCATAGCCATACGTCTAGATGTCGAGATGATCAATCAAAGGGTTTTTTAATATTAAAACTATTTTTTCCGATGGATTTATGAGGGACATCCTTAGTTCCACTTTATATGAAAAGTGTGTTTTATGCTAGGGAAAAGTTTATATAAAGCTTGAGGCTCTAAACAATCAAATTAAATTAGAGCCTACCTCAGAAATTTCTAATTTCACTAGAAGAGGTTTGATGCCCAAACATTCTCAAATTGATTATCTCCGACGTCAAGATGCGTGGACGTGAGAAAAAAAATGGATTTCAAGTTTCAAAAATAGTTTATTTTATAACGTATTTTTTGACCATCAATTTTTAAGATTTTCAAGTTTTTATACATCCATCGATCTACATTATTTTGAAGCTTTAAATTTTATAAATAAAGATGAAAATATGTTTTAAGGTTATCACAAAGATTTTCAATATTGAAATCACAATTCTCAAGATTATGTGATTATGTAGAAGTAGGCTCTAATTTGATTGTTTAGAGCCCGGGCTCTATACAAATGGCACCCGTATCTGATTTCTAGATAGAATTAGAAGGTTATTGGCACTAGTGAAGTCCTTTTCGAAAATCGCACCCGTATCAGATTCGTAGATAGAATTAGAAGGTTATTGGCACTAATGAAGTTTCGATAATTAGAAGGTTATTGGCACTAGTGAAGTCCTTTTCGAAAAGAAAATGATTTAATAGGGCTGCAAAAGGAAAATGGTTTGATAGGGCTGCAGCCCTATTAAAATAAGTACACTTCACCTCATAATTGCAATTCAAACATCGGAAAAACTATCATCTCGGTTTCAATATTATGATTACAATAAAGGATTAGGATTTCTAAAAAAAAGGTGTGGTTCCTTTAAGGTTGCGACCTTAAACCATCCAATTAAAGTGTTTCTCCAAATTTTATCATAAAATGTAATGTTAATGTAAAAAAGTATTTAGATTATTTTAAAATTTATTTTATATCTAATTATAAAATTTAAATTAAAAAATAGTTAAATTCAAGTAGATATATAAATATATGAAAATCTTAAAAATAGACAGTCTAGATAATATATTGCAAGATACATTATTTTTGGGACTCAAATTTATTTATTTATTCTATATTCATACATTTCGATGTCGAGATGATCAATTAGAGGGCTTTTCAATATTAAAACAATATTTTTCGATGGATTTTTGATACGCATAAGTAATTTTACATTTTAAGGTTGGAACCTTATATAAAGTTTTTCTTTCTAAAAATAGTGTATATTGTAAAATATTATCTAAATGGCGTATTTTGCCTTTAAAAAAAAAAAGTGTACATGCAAGATCGATATCATTTTTTTAATTTCAAATTTTATTCTCGGCATTGGAAATTGATTATCTCCATTATGGAGATTTTCAATACCAAAAATACTTTCCGGACAAAGATTTGAGGTGAGGTTTTATTTTATTTTCATAAAGCCTATATAGAATCTTCAGTTTTGATTGCAGAAACTTCATCCACTGAAAATGAACATCACTCCTTTGAATATACAAAAGAAGAGAAGGCATATGCGGTGTAGGCAAAAGTAGCACCTTTTCACACTAATGCGTATTTGAAGCTTGAATGGTGACATGGAATTTGAAGGATAGAATGAATTTGCAGAGGCATTCTCTTAAAATTTTGGGAAAATATCTTTTTATTATCTATTTTTAACTTTTAGATATCTTGAAACTCAATAATTAAAAATATTACTTGTAAGTAAAAGGTGTCAATCTTTTCTATCTTACAATCCCCTGAACCCATTTGACCATGTATTATTGACCCTAACAACTTATGAAATAAGCAAACTAAGACAAATTTCTGGGACTTTAAACCTCTTCTACAATAAATTTTCAAGTAGAATCCCTGAAACTTTTGGAAATCTCCCAATTTTTGTTAGCCTGGATCTGACCCACAATGACTTGATTGGCAGGATTCCGGCCGCTAGAAACCAGATAAACCAAGGACCAACTGTTTTTTTCGAGAATCGTAACCTGTGCGGCTTCCCTTTAAAAAAGCCATGTGAAGTTTCAAAGGTTGCGATTTTGGTCGGAAATTTGGTACTGATTTTGGCTGAAAACTTCAGAGGCCCCTTTAAATAAGCCAAAAAAGGTGACACCAAAGCGAAGGCAAGGCCCAATGGTGCTGATTTTGGCCCGAGCCGTTGCTCTTGTCATCTCAACAATGTTTTTTTGCCACAAAAGTAGAGAGGGTTACCAGAAAAGCGAGAAGTGGGGATAAAGCAGGGGTTTAAGGGTTATGGATGAAGGACCAACTGCTTTTCGAGAACTGCAACATGTGTGGCTTCCCTTTAAATAAGCCATGTGAAGTTTCAAAGGTCGCAATTTTGGACGAAAATTTGGTGCTGATTTTGGCCGGAAATTCAGAGGTCCCTTTAAATAAGCCACAAAAGGTGACACCAAAGCAAAGGCAAGGCCCAATGGTGCTAATTTTGGCCGGGGCCATTGCTCTCGTCATCTTGGCAGCGTTTTTTTGCCGTAAAAGTAGAGAGGGTTGCCGGAAAAGTAAGAAGTGGGGAGAAAGCGGGGGTTTAAGGGTTATGGATGAAGGACCAACTGCTCTTTTCGGGAACTGTAACCGGTGCGGCTTTCCTTTAAATAAGCCATGTGAAGTTTTAGAGGTCGCGATTTTGGCCAGAAATTTTGTGCTGATTTTGGCCGGAAATTTCAGAGGTCCCTTTAAATAAGCCAGAAAAGGTGACACCAAAGCGAAGGCAAGGCCCAATGGTACTGATTTGGGCCAAAAATTTGGCCGCTG